GTGGCTATTGAACGGGGGCCCACCGTCGGTTCGGAGGCGGAGAGGCACTCCGACTTCCCGGAAGAAGCAACAAAACATCCGGATGACCCTGGAAGAGGTGGTGTCCCGACCACAGGGAACTACCACGGGCCATCCAGAGAGCCTGTCGGCGACCACCAGGAAAGACTTTCCGGCCACATTAAAGAAGTCGGCGGACACGGACTCAAAGGGCCGCTTTGGGAGGTCATTGCACAGGTACGGCTCTTGTTGCTGGCTGGGCTGGAGTTGCTGGCAAGGCTCACAGGCCTCAACCGTGCTCTTAATATCGGCGTCAATACCAGGCCAGAAGACGGTCTGACGGGCTCTGCGCCTGGTGGCTTCAACGCCGCGGTGGCTGTCATGGAGGCGGGATAAGGTGCGCCGGCGGAGGGCAGCGGGAACGACGATCCTGGGGCCGTACAACACCAGCTCTCCGTCCGCATAGAGGCTATCCCTTAGCTTCCAGAAGGGGAGGGCGGAGGCGTGAATGTCGTAGCGGTTGGTGGGGAATCCAGCGGAGACGTAGTCGAGGAGTTGGACGTATGCCGGGTCTTGAGCGGCGGCGATGCGAAGCTCCTGGAGAGTCCTATCGTCTTCGATGGAGGGCGTCGTCGTCGTCTTGTCAGCAAGAGAAGTGGCTGTGTGTGTCACTAAAGACCGAACGTGAGCAGCGGCCGTGGTACAGTCGACTTCATCTTCAGGTGTGGGGCGACTAACAGGGGCTCGGGAGAGGGCGTCTGGTATGCACAGAAGCTTCCCGGCGCGCCACACAGCTGTAAAGACGTAAGGGGCGGTCTTCTCTTTGAGACGTTGGAGGCGAGGATTTTCGATGGCGTCCAACGTGTAGTGATTAAGAATGGGTATGAGCGGGCGATGGTCCGTCATGAGGGTGAAATGCCCAAGGCCGAACAGGTAAAGGCGGCACTTGGCCATAGCCCAGGCGACTGCCAGCATCTCTAGTTCAATGGTGGCGTATCTGGTCTCCGTGTCCGTCAAAAACCTGGAGCCACACTGAACTAAGCACAGTCTACCCTGGCCGTGGTCTTGAAGGAGGGCATATCCGAGGCCGTATAGACGGGAGGCGTCGGTCTGGAGGACCACTGGTAAGGACGGGTCGAAGGGTGCCAGGACTGGTGGTGACAGCAACGCCTTCTTAACATTCCTGAACGCTAGGTCGTGGTCAGGAGTCCAGAGGAAGGAGCGCTTGGGGCTCATGAGGGGGCGTAGAGGTTGGGCTGATGTGGCGATTTTAGGGGAGAAGTCGGCCAGCTGATTTACCAGGCCCATAAATGAGCGAAGGTCGGTCAGGTTCGCTGGAGTAGGGAAGTCCCTGATGGCCTTGACCTTCTCCTCATCAGCTGAGATCCCCTCTGGCGAGATGTTGTAGCCGCAGTAGTTAACTTGGGGGGCGGCGACCACAAATTTATCTTTGTTCAGGGTGATACCATGGGCACGACATCTTGTGAGCATCAGATGAACTCGGTTCAAGTGGGCCGGGAGATCATCGTCGAAGAGCAGGATGTCATCTACGACCTTCACGCAGTTGGTGACACCCTGCAGAGCCATATCCCCACGGAGGCAGTACGCATCCCCCGTTGCTGCGAAGCCCATGGGTCCGCGGCAGTGTTGGAAGCGGCCGTGGGGCGTGATGAATGTAGTGAGGTGGCGATCTTCTTCCGCCAGGTCGACTTGCCAGTACCCATGTAGTGCATCCGCCGTGGTAAAGAACTTTGCAGACGGGGTGACGCTGCGGACTGCTTGGATGGGCGTAGGCGATGGATGGGCGGGACGGGAGACCTGCGAGTTGAGATGGGTGAGGTCCACTGTGATGCGAACACCTACAGGTTTGGGTGCCAAGACCATAGGGTGGCACCACTCGGAGGGCTCCTCACCGGCGTGTCTGATGATCCCCTGCTGCACCAGAGAATCGAGCTCCGCCTTCACCTTGTCCCGTATGGCAAAGGGGATAGGCCTGGGTGTGTGGATGGCGAAAGGCGTCGCGCCAGGCTTGAGGTGGATTCTCATCGGGGGGCCTGTCATCTTCTTGAGCGGCGTCTTCTGGAGGTCGGGCTTGGAGACAAGGACGTCGCTGAACTGACGAAAAAAGAACTCCCGGGCGGCAGCAGGTGTGGTCATGGCTGAAACAGGTATCTCTGCACACCTGTTGAGGTGTGTCACAGCGAGGATGGGCTTTGGGAACTCGGATGAGACGATGGCCAAGTCCTGACAATGGCCACATGACAAGAGAGGGGTTTGGATGCCCTCATGGACGTGGACTGTGGCAAGGCAAGACTTGGGACCGAGCTGTAGTGTTGCCTTGAAGCAACCCAAAGGTGGAGACATCGGGGACCCGTCCGCTGTGAGCACGTCGTTCATGGCTGTGGGTGACAGGCTACTCCTGGGGATGTTGAGGGCGTCCAGGTGTGTTGGTCCAATCACCGTGATGTCCGCGCCCGTGTCAGGTATCATCAGGAGGTTGGAAGAGTTGGTACCGTAGGACAGACGAACATTGACGGGCTTGGGGGACCTGTCACTCGAGGTATCATCCACGCGTCGGCATCCTTTGTTATTCTTGGGAGACGGTGGTGTGGACGTTCTGTCGGGCTGTGAAGAGACGTTTTGACCTGGAGATGGAGGCTTCTTGGTGGACCTGCAACACTTGGCGAAGTGTCCTTGCTTGTTGCAAGCGTTGCATGAGGCCTTGTTGGCAGGACATCGAGGTGTGCGGGGCCAATGGCCTTGAAACCCACAGTTTCGACATGTACTATCAGCCGCAGGGCACTTTCCTGGACCATGCTGGTGCTGACAGTTTCTGCAGGATTCGGGAGAAGAAACTGGTGACTGTGACGGGGGCTGTGGAGAGGACGTCGTCTGCATCTGGCGTTGATTCCTCTTGTAGGTGGAGACGGCGTGGACTTGAGATGGCGATGAGTGTATAGCTGAGGCAGCCTCTCTTGTGGCCTCATACGACCTGCAACAGGTGACGAAGTCGGTGAGGGAAGAGGCGGCGTCGAGGGTGAGGAGTTTCTGAAGCAGGTCCTCGTCACGTACACCCATCAGCAAGATCATCTTGAGCTGGATCTCAGCACAGGTTACAGGATCGCCTGTACATAGGTCCACCTCGGTTGCTAGGTCCTTAAGTCGTGCATAGAAGTCTGAGAATGATTCCCCAGAAGCTTGTTTGCAGGATAGCAGTTCCCTACGACGCAAAGCTTCATTGCGGAGGCCACGGAAATGACTCTGCAAGGCGTTTAAAACCTCTGTCACTGACCTGGGGGAGTCAGGGGGGATGGCTAGCGTGTGCTCTAGGAGGCGTTGAACATCGAGGGAAATGCACGATCTTAATTGGATGAGTTGTTTATGAGGGGGCATTCGGTAGAGGTCAGACATAACAGCAAAGTCTTCGAAACGACGTCGCCATTGACGGTATACTTGATATGTTGCATCAGATTGAAGAGGTGGGGGACTGGGAACTGAAGACTTGCTGTGCAGGGGTGTACTCGAGACGGCAGGCGGTGGAGGAGGCACGGAGAGGTCGACGAGAGTTGAGACTGGAACAGGTGGTGGAGAAGACACTGAGGCATACCTAGGGGAGATAGGTGACGTGTGAGGGGGCGTTGTCTGAAGGATAGATGAAGAGGCTGAAGCTGGCGAATTGGTTGTGGCAGCTGGTGAAGTCGTCCTCGTTGCCAGCAATTCCAATAGGTCCAGGAATTTGCGGTTATCAGCTTGGTGTTGTTGTTGAAGTTGAAGACGGTAAGCTGATTCCTCTGACTGTCTTGACAATTCCTCTTGATGTCGTTTTTCCTCCTCTAATCGACGTCTTTGGGCTTCCTTCTCTTGAGAAACTTGTAGGAAGTGGATTAACCGACGTATATCCTGGCTCCCATCCTTTGAATTTGGCGCGCCCGGCGTGTGAGGCGTGAGGGGGGGTGGGAGGGTCTGTGAGGCGTCGTCTTCCTCATAATCCTCATATAAATTTCCCAGCAAATCGTCGTGGTCAGACATCTCGTGCTTGGTATTGTTGCGATGGGAAAGACAAGGAGAATAAGGTGAAGTGCTATATTTTCGCCAATGGATTTGCTTAAGTGCAGGAACTGGCTGGCAAGTAAAAGAGTACTGACTGTAATATTTGTGAAGTGAGAGGAGGCGGCTAGCGGCGGTGTATTCCTCCGCGCGCCCGGGCGAGCTGGCTCAGTGGTAAGGGGACGCGGGCAGTGGCTTGCGAGCCTCCGTGGATGGGGGGTGTATGCCGGAAGTGCTGTCTTGGAAACTGGGCTGAAGGCGTGTCTGCTACCTGTAGGGCCGCAGAAACATAGCAAAGAGACATGAAAGGCACTGCACTTCACTTAGGGCACTTCACAAGGTCACAAAGCACTTTAAATCCAGGGGCACTGTGGAGTATATCTTCTGGGCGGGAAACAGACGAGGCCGGGACAGACGAGGCCGGCTCTTGAGGCTTGTAAACTGTCGTGTTGGAGCTACTCAAACTGCGCCATGTGGTGTGGTGGATGTAATCCTAGACAAGGTTCTTGAAACTCCAGGGCACGAGCAGTAGGTATATTCAATAAGTGGTACAAGGTTGGGCGTGATAGCCAACCGATACAGGAGCGATTACTAGGGACCCCGGACCGTAGGTAGGCCGAGGCCGATCTGAGGGAAATTAGCTAGCCAGGCAAGGGGAGTTGCTAGACATTCCTAGGACAATAAATGAGGTCTTCTAATTACTCGACTAGCGCGGTACAGACATAGTACATCGGGACATAGTAAATGAACATAGGCATTAGACATAAGCATGGACATCAGACATGCTATAATAATATGTAGTAATACAGACATGTGAATAAATGGTACAATGAATGGTAACAAGAGTCCTGGTGTCAGGCGCGTTCACACATCTTGGTATGTACATATCTATACACCATGCACAGGCCAACCGGCCTATTGCAGACTCCTTATTTTCTTATGTTCTTATGTTTCAGTTCAATACCCAAAGAACTGAATACACAAGTTACAGGCCCCATTACAGTGAGTGAGAGCAGGTTGTGTGTGGAAGGGGCACGTCAACTAATTGCTCCTAGATCTATCATCAGTTAGTCAATCCTCTCTGTGTTCGAAGTTGACAAGTATCTTCTTACTTCATCAATCTCTACCCTTCTATGACTCGTTAAACCTTGGTGTTGTGTATGTTACTTCTATGTCACTTCTATGCTTTCCTTCCATCCTTCTATCTCCCCTTCCATCCCTCCTTCCATCTGCACCATAACTAACTCTTGTATTGCTGTATTTCCTTTCTACATCCCATGTACTTAAACACTTAAATTTATTCATTATAAATATTTATATATACACACTTATTACCACATTCACCCTCCTTTAATTGTTGTTGTTGTTGTTGTAGGTGAGACAGACAGACAGACAGGCAGACGTTGTGGTGGTGTTACAGGTATTAGTGAGGTGGAATTGACGCAGGGTGCATGTGATAAATACAACAACATTAGTCATACATACATACATACATACATACATACATACATACATACATACATACATCAGTCCTATATAAACGCGACCATATTTACCTTACGACAGAGTGATAGAAATTACATTGAGAATTATATCGTTACGTTAAGAAGCACAGAAATAATCCATGGTGTAACCCAGACAAACGCCGCTGTAACAAATACCTCGTCTAATACGGAACAAGGACAAATAAGCGAACAAAGAGAAGAATAGGAAGTGAGAGGAGGCGCTGATGAGAGAGGTGTATAGTGAAACAAAGGAGGGCAGATAAACCCATTTAATCCTAAGCTAAGCCTGCAGCACCTACAGTAGGCTACACCTCACCTCCCTCCAGCTGCTGCCACCACTACTGCTGCTGCTACTAATACGTGTATGTAACCTGAGTTCGAGGTCTGTAGAAGATACTCATCTAACCTAACCTAACCAAACTGCCTCATCTTAACTACAACGTGAAACTGATGGTAGAAATTATAGTTGAGAAAGGTAAGGTGTTAAAATATTATTAATCAAATTAGAGAAAGTGAACGTTGATAGAATGACGAGTCTGTGTTAGTTTGTCGAAGAGAGTGAACACCTGTGAACGTCAGCTTAGTGTCGTCACCGATGTCAGGATAAGTTTTCAGTGTTTAGTGCAGTAGGACTGACGAGGACTGACATTCACACACGGTAGATTGTATGAAACTCACCGGGACTACCAGGTATGGGTGTGACTGATCTAAACGACGTGGACAGCCCCAAAACATTGCCACGCGCGAATCTCTGTGAGAGTTTCAAGTGAGCTGGTGTCCCATAGGGTGAGGGAAGAGAAGGATCTTTACGGTGGCTGGGTAGATCAGGTCATCGACACTGACCCAGCCCCACCAGGTGACCATCAGCTGATCAGTCAAGGGAGGTGAGGGGGGGAAGGACGATGACAGCCTGAGGTGCTGGTTTATTGATATCATTACTAACGAGCATCTGCCTGTGTGTAGGAGAGAGAGCGAGAGAGAGAGAGAGAGAATTACATTTTGAGGAGTCTTGGGAGGTACACATAACGATATAGACCTTCCCAAGCGTATAATGTGCCCCTCAGGTCTCCGTATACAGTTCGCTGTGTACTGTTTGGAGTCACTTGCAACCTTTACTCCGTTGGTGTCATAATTCACCTTTACCTGTTGATACTCTGGGTAGTTGTGTTGGTGCAAGTGTATATATAACTGCGCTGTCAATGTTGCCTCGCTCTTGGGGACAATAATTCCTGGGAGGTTTTGAGCATAATGGTGTAATATCCCTCGTTAGAACACATCTATAGTTACGTCGTCAGTGCAATTCCGACGACAGTTTGAGCGTCTCTGTATCAATGGTTTAGTGAGTTAGGTACTTGCTCACGTCTCCAGTTCGGGTAAAAATAAACACAGGAGGTGAATGAGTCGGGAGCCCCTCCAGTGACCAGACCATGAGATTGTTGCTTCTAGTAATTGTGTGTTAATTGTTTTAATAGTATTTTTAACCTCTATTTATTTTTATGAATTTTATGTCTTCCTGATCTAACTGATAAGTGTTTTTTTTTTTTGCACATGGGGGATGTTTTTGTAGTGTAGCATCACGTAGTCAATGTTTATATCTTGACCTCTCTGATTTCGGTGTATTTTTAGGTCAGGTTAGGTCAGATCAGGTTACGACAAGTCAGGTTAGGTCAGATCAGGTTACGACAGGTTAGGTTAGGTTTCGATGTATTTTGGTTACAACTGTAAACTAAGAATACAGATCTGAGGTCCAACGTACAGTGTTACCACCAACTACCAGGTAAACTAAGGTGGTGTTGCTTACCTGCCGTTTCCTTATACTCACCGCCCGCTCCAGGATCTAGGAGTCAGTAGTACATTATTTTACTAAATATTTTGTTCCTCGTAAGTAAAAGCTTTCTGTAACAGCCTTAGTTTTTGTGACTTAAGTGGTGGAAAATATATATAGTTTATTCTCCTAAGTGAACATAATGAGAGCACTTCTGATGGGTGGACTTAGGTTAACTAATCAAAGATAAAGATAACATAATTTAGTGCTAACCTAACCTAACCATCCCTCTTGTTTGTCTCAGGTACCGGTGAGCTGAGTGTTGATCCAGGTAAACACAGTATACTGAGTGTCTTCTCGTGGGTGTAACTCATCCCACTTACACCTGTCTCACCCTGGGATACACCTCCTATTAGTGACTATATCCTCGGGGTGTACTGTGTAGATAATTCGGTCCCCTGTGTATGTGAGTGTATGTTGGTGTGTGTGTGTGTGTGTGTGTGTGTGTGTGTATCCGTCAAGGCGCTCCATAGAGGAAACTGTAGGTTAATTTCTTTTCTTCTCTATGTCTGTATATACACTCGGTGCCCCGGTGGTGAAAACTGTTGAAAAATATCAGTTCAGATTGATAATTTCTCCCTCGTTATCAGTTAAGAGCGCCGGTATCTGATTGTATTGGTCCAATCTTGTCTCGTATTTTAGTTTGGTTAGGTTAGGGTAGGTTAGGTTATGGGAAATATAAATAAAACACTTACGGAAGAATACAAATATTATATGAAAAATTTACTTTGGTTATAAATGTAAATAAAAATCCGGAGAAAAATGTTATGTCGTGAAAGAATGATTTTGATTGTTATTAAAACTATACACAGTGTGGGTATGACGAGGGTATAGTATAGAGTGTGGGTATAACCATGGGTGGGGGGTATACAGTGTGGGTATAACCATGGGTGGGGGATATACAGTGTGGGTATAACCATGGGTGGGGGATATAGAGTGTGGGTATAACCATGGGTGGGGAGTATAGAGTGTGGGTATAACCATGGGTGGTGGGTATGGGTGGGGATATACAGTGTGGGTATAACCATGGGTGGGGGTATAGAGTGTGGGTATAACCATGGGTGGGGATATACAGTGTGGGTATAACCATGGGTGGGGATATACAGTGTGGGTATAACCATGGTGGGGATATACAGTGTGGGTATAATGAGTGGGGGGTATACAGTGGGTATAACCATGGGTGGGGTATACAGTGTGGGTATAACCATGGGTGGGGGATATAGAGTGTGGGTATAACCATGGGTGGGGGTATACAGTGTGGGTATAACCATGGGTGGGGGGTATACAGTGTGGGTATAACCATGGGTGGGGGATATACAGTGTGGGTATAACCATGGGTGGGGGATATAGAGTGTGGGTATAACCATGGGTGGGGAGTATAGAGTGTGGGTATAACCATGGGTGGTGGGGGGGGAGTATATAATATGAAGGCGAGGCAGGACAGGGAACAAGGAGGTAAGCAGAGGTCTTGAATGGGTATCAGCTGACCCATAATAAGTTCATTAAGATAAATCCGCGATAATGTGCTGGAGCCTCAGAAATGCGTTCAAGCCGCAGATCAGTTTTGCGTTTCCCTCCACTTATCCTTAACCTGTCGTTCACCTTTCAGAATTTTACGTTCATATACTAAAATTTAACAACTAACCAATAAAAATTAATATATTTTTAGTGTGTTTTAAAGATAATTGTGTTTTTTTTTTAAGTTTATTAGTTTTTTTTTTTTAGTCGATTGGTTGAAAGTTTGTGGGGTTTTTGGAAGTTGTTTTGGGACGATGGTTTATGAAAATGATGTTTGTTGTAAGGAAGGTATGAGGGAAGGTGAGTACGCTGCTTCACCTGTCTGGGAGAGGAGAGAGATTTGAATGACACAAGGGCGTCCCGTGACAAACAGAGCACACACACACACACACACACACACACACACGAAGACATGAGGAGCCATCTATAGTCTCAATGCAATTTTGGAGTCATTTTAAGCCGCCATGTTAAGTGACGTATCCTAGGCTAAGTTTCGGTCGAGTCTTGGTGTAATTTAATCGCCATTTTTTTTTTATTCTAGTCAAGTCTCGAGGCAATTACGAAGTTATTTTAGTGACTATTTTTTTTTCTTAGTCGAGGTGAACTTAGGAAGACTGTGGAAGAGGAGGAGGAAGACTTTGAAAGAGGAGGAGGAAGACTTTGAAAGAGGAGGAGGAAGACCAGAAGAGGAGGAGGAAGACTTTGAAAGAGGAGGAGGAAGACCAGAAGAGGAGGAGGAAGACTTTGAAAGAGGAGGAGGAAGACCAGAAAGGAAGGAGGGAGGAAGACTGTGAAAGAGGAAGACCAGAAGAGGAGGAGGAAGACTGTGAAAGAGGAAGACCAGAAGAGGAAGACTGTGGAAAAGGAGGAGGAAGACCAGAAGAGGAGGAGGAAGACTGTGAAAGAGGAAGACTGTGGAAGAGATAAAAGAAGCATAGAAGAGGAAGAGGAAGAAGACTATACAAAAGAGGCAACAGGAGGTAATTGTGTCCGTGTCTGCGTACGTACACTATCCAGGAGCTGCGTACGTGTCATAGGGCGTCCGTAGCTGCCACCCCCCCCCCTCCCCCCCCCTCCTATACACGTGAACGCAATAACACTTTTAAAACGTACTGATCTAGTGAACAAATTTCCTTGAGTAGGGATTCGGGATT